TGTAAAAATGTGCACGAACATACATGCAAAAATAGAAATCACATACAACGCCAAGCATTCATTGGTTAATAAATCACCACTACGTTATTATAGACAATTTACAAATTGCAGTAATGCGACAATTTTTTAATCGTTCTAATTTTATGTAGTCAGTTTTGTGCATTTTGGGAGAAACGGATCACAGAAGCTTTCTTAAGTCTCCCCAAAGCTCGTTCGCTGATTGGTCGATGCCAACTATTCAGATCGTCTTCACGTGAAGAATAATTCTTCGCACGCAGCGATCTGAGCCTAAAGTCCCTTATTTAAGAAAGAATTTTCAAACTCTTTTTTGTGAGAATCCAACTGCCAAACGAATCCACTACAGTTGAGACCATGCGCCAACATTCTCACTCACACACATTACTTACATGCTGAACATACCTTGTATATACTCACATAATCTTTTCTTACACAGCAAAAGCTTTCAAGAACAAACATTACAAGAGACTTTCATGAACATTCTTCCAGTGAAATTTGGAACGCTAAAAAAACAATTAAAGAGCGACAACTCTTGGTTTATTCAACCTTTTCTTACTTAAATGCATGCTTTCTTTCACATCGTTGTTTGATATTGTACATCTTGTTAAATACATATTTTATGTGTAACAATGTCATCTGCTTATCCTTTTCTGCGTCGGCCCTGTTTCCTAATCTAAAGTTAAATTAATTTAGTGAAGTCCGCCACAAACTTAACATCAGGAAGATATATTTTTTTAAAAATCTGTATGTTACTCTATAATCTATACGATACGGTGAATTTCCCCAAAGTTTACATATTGACGTATAAACAGACAGTTATATATTATGATGTATATTAAATAAAGTAGTCACCCATTTTTGTAGAGTTACAGGAAGTAGTTCTTGTAATATATTTTGCCGCTGTATCAGAGCTCTTTTATTATTCCGTATATTTAAATACCCAAGAGAACTTTCCGGGGACATCGTCCATGTCATCATTCCTTGTGTGGTTTTCAGATTTAGCTAATAATTATTTACTGAAGGGAGTTATCTCCCTTGAGCAGTCAGTTAATTCAGAAGAAAATGGAGAATCCGGAAAGAAGACGACTTTCACCTCCTTTGAGATGATGTTTTGTTAGAAAAGGTCATTATTCGGTGCTTCAGGATGCCCATCTCATTAGGCCAGACAATGGTGGTTTTATTTAGAGTCGATAAGAATTATGCCCCAAATGAACGCGTAGAAGTGGCCTCCGAAAATATTATCTGATTCTTGTCTTGTTTGTCGTCACGCAACTCTGAAGAGCATGTTGGCGGTAAGATAACGTGCTATGAAATAAGATGTCGCGACTTGACGCCCACTGTTTTTAGAATCGTCAATATCGTGCCGAAACAAATGAGTGGAAGCTTGGATATTAGGCAGAGTTGATGAAAAGGTTAGCAGTGATACCACCACGAAATATTTCACTCAGGAGACATGTGTGTATAAATGTTCGGGCTTGCATGTAAGCAAACATATTTCATGAGGTAGTGACTTCCCGACTAATTAAAGGTGAGCTTCAAATGCTATTTTTGAAAGAAGCAATGTTTCGACTCGTGAAATTGTTTTAAAACATCGACATATAATGATCTCTTTAAAAATATATTCCTCCCATCTACAAGTTCTTTCAAATTTATATTAGTACCCTATCTATCTATCTATCTATCTATCTATCTATCTATAACAGTTTTTATAAATCTCACACTATCTCAGTCTGTTGCAATCTATCTTTCTTTTTTTCTATATATATTAAAATATTAAGAAATAACAGTAAGATTCATAATCCGGTGTTCTTAGTAATTATTTTTATTTAAAAAATATACAGAGCTTGATACAAACAGTAGAGTAAAATATAATAATTATTTTGAAAAGAAAATAATAACTATCATATATAATGTGTGTGTATAAATATGTAGAAAAATAGGAAAGAACACGTTAGGTAAATAATCCGGGGTTCTTTAGTATTTTTGTATTTATTTAAAAAATAAAACACTGCTCCATACAGAAGTAGAGCTTAAATTATAATTATTTAAAAAAAAAATAGGATTCCTTCGCTACATAAGAGTTCTCATGTTTCAAAAATAAGAGCCAAAAACCTCAACATAATTATTAAAATTAAATTGAATTAAGGTATCAAGCCCTGTTTCATCCTCAAGCGAAAATTTAGGAATAATCAATTTTGAAATTTACGCATCTTTATAAGCATGTACATTCGCAAAATTAATTACTATGGAAACGGCTGGGACAACTATTTTGATAAGGGGCATAAGATTTCAATTTTATTTATTTATTATTTCTAAAGGGCTGTTTAGTATATAAAAGCGTCGCACTGAACTACAATTCTTTTTTTCGACGACTTCCTATAGTTTTTTTTCTATCTTATTACTGAGTTAAACTTTTAAACCTTTTATTAGACTATGAAATTTATTTTTTATGCTAATGGTTTTATCTACAAAAAATTAATTAAAAAATAACTAAGACATAAAAAAGCTTATAATAACAATATTAACATGGTAGACAGTATCAACAGAACTAGTAAAATTATTACTGAAAAATTAAAAGTAAGCGATAGCGTAAGCAAACTCGATGAAAAGGAATGCTACATCACTCTTAAGGACCACAAACAGGATTTTGAGGAAGACCGCACTCCTAGAATGATAAACCCAACCAGACCCGACATAGGAAAGATAAGCAAAAGAATCCTAGAAAGGAGCACTAGGCAAATTAAAAACTGCCTTGTATTAACACTCTGGATTAATACCAAAGAAGTCATTAATTGGTTTACCAACATCAACAATAAGCCTGATTGCACCCTAATACAATTCGATATTGTGGATTATTACCAGTCAATATCAAGAGACCTATTCACGACTACCCAGGAGTTTGCTATAGTATATTCTGACTTAACTAAGGAAGAAATGAACATACTTTTAGTGCAAAAATAAATCTGTCCTTATTCATAATGGGGACCAATGGAGTAAAAACACTAATGACAATTTTGACATCACCATGGGATCTTTAGACTCTGCAAAGTCTTCTGAACTTGTCGGTCTATTTATACTATACAATCTAACCGCGTACCGTGAATTAGACATCAAGGACATACAGGGATGACGGGCTCATGGTAGTGAGGAGATCCACAAATTTTAAAATAGATAAAATTAGTAAGATTATATATAGTGAATTCAGAAAACAAAATTTAAAAATACACTACTAAATTAAAAAAAGGTAAACGTCCTCGACGTAACTCTAGACTTAATAAACAACATATACCTACCTTACAGAAAACCTAACGCTAGCCCCTTGTATGTAAACCCTAAGTCAAACTACACTTCATCTATAATTAAGCATATACCGATATCAATAGAGAAAAGAATTTGTATGAACTCCGCTAATAAAGAAATATTCCAACAACAGAGTAATTTTTATAACACAGCCCTAAAAGATAGCGGATACAAAAACGCTAACATAAATTATAGAAAGAATAGTACTAACCAGAAGAAACGCTGGAAAAGAAAAATCATTTGGTATACCCCCGCCCCGCTTCAACCAAATGGTTAGTGTTAAGCTAGGACAGAAGTTCCTAGCTTTAATTGAAAAACACTTTCCTACTAATAGCACACTTAGCAAGATCTTTAATTAAAACACCTGAAAATTTACTTACAGTTGCACTGAAAATCTAGAAAGAATCATAAAGAAACATAATAATAAAATGCTGGAAAAACACGCATGCCAAAACAGTATTAATAAAAATCCTAAGCTAAAATTAGACAAAAATAATGAAAAATTATGTGATTGTAGAAACCATGAAGACTGTCTGTTGGAAAATAAATGCCGCACAAAATCTGTGGTATACCAATGCACTATCTCATCCATTGAGAATTCTAACACTGAAATCATAGACATGAGTTAACTGTTTTTGCCGACATCAACAAATTTTTGCATTAAATAATTAGCATAAAAAAATAAATTTCATAGTCTAATAAAAGGTTTAAAAGCTTAACCCAATCATAATATAGAAAACCCTTTATGTAGTTGTCAAAAAACAAATTGTAGTTCAGTGCAACGCATTTATGTACGAAACAGCCCGATAGAAAAAAATCCTTAGATACTTAACGACGTATTATGGTGCCAACAGATATCTGTGACTGACCAGACGATGTGCGTATATGAATGCCATCTTTCGCTTTGAAATGGACACCCCGGTCCTCTTTCTTTCTTTTGACCTCTTTCCGAAGGTGACTGATGTGTGGATAAAAATTAACTATTATGCCTCTTATCAAATTAGTCGCTCCTGCTGTTTCCATTGCGAATGAACATGCTTATAAAGATGCGTAAATTTCTAGATTGGTTATTCCCAAATTTTCACTTGAGGATCAAATAGAGCTTGATAATTTAATTCAATTTAATTTCAATAATTATATTGAGGTTTTTGGTTCTTGTTCTTGAAACATGAGAACTCTTATGTAGCGAAGGAGTCATATTAAAAAAATTATACTATATATATATATGTGTGTGTATATATATATATATATATATATATATATATATATGGTGTTCCACTAACTTGGACTGATTTTAAATGTGAATTAAATTTAAGCGTATAAGGATTTTTTCATTTACTTTCAGATTTGGTGTACATTTGGGCGATATTATTTTTCACACATAATTGCTATGTCTTAAATACCATTATCTAATAGAGAAATAAATAAATTTTTACCAATAACAGTGATTTATTTACTGCTGACTTTGATCCGTCTTAATGAAAGACCCTTTATTTCCATCTTTCTGCCTACATATACTCATATATCTCTGTATATCTATCCATATGTATATATCTCTTCTATATATGCATATCATTATATCTCTCTGTGTTTCTATATATGTCTATATATGAATGTATATACATTCCTGATCACATTCACAATTTAGAGAAATATTTATTGAAAAACATGTATAATCCACCATGAAAATATTCTTTTTTCTATCTTTCTTTATTTCCTCCTTTCCATCTCTCTTTGTTTCCTTGTTTCCTTCTCTCTTTGTTTCCTCCTTTCCTTCTCTCTTTATTTCCACCTTTCCCTCTTTCTTTATTTCCACCTTTCCCTCTTTCTTTGTTTCCTCCTTTCTCTCTTTCTTTTTGTTTCCTCCTTTGCTTCTTTCTTTTTGTTTCCTCCTTTCCATCTTTCTTTTTGTTTCCTCCTTTCCCTCTCTCTTTTTGTTTCCTCCTTTCCCTCTCTCTCTGTTTCCTCCTTTCCCTCTCTCTTTATTTCCACCTTTCCATCTCTCTTTGTTTCCTTCTTTCTTTGTTTCCTTCTTTCCTTCTCTCTTTGTTTCCTCCTTTCCCTCTCTCTCTGTTTCCGCTTTTCCCTCTTTCTTTATTTCCTCCTTTCCATCTCTCTTTGTTTCCTTCTTTCTTTGTTTCCTTCTTTCCTTCTCTCTTTGTTTCCTCCTTTCCCTCTTTCTTTGTTTCCTCCTTTCTCTCTTTCTTTTTGTTTCCTCCTTTCCCTCTCTCTTTTTGTTTCCTCCTGTCCCTCTCTCTCTGTTTCCTCCTTTCCATCTCTCTTTATTTCCACCTTTCCATCTCTCTTTGTTTCCTTCTTTCTTTGTTTCCTTCTTTCCTTCTGTCTTTGTTTCCTCCTTTCCCTCTTTCTTTGTTTCCTCCTTTCTCTCTTTCTTTTTGTTTCCTCCTTTCCCTCTCTCTTTTTGTTTCCTCCTTTCCCTCTCTCTCTGTTTCCTCCTTTCCCTCTTTCTTTGTTTCCTCCTTCCCACTTTCTTATTTTAATATAACAGATACGACATTATAAATTTCGGTTCATAATGAATTAACAGCATTTAGCAAACGTTTTGTCCTCTGGAGGAAAATAAATGACGATTTTCATAATCCCTGTTTGTATTCCAGTCACTATCTTTTCTCTATTGTCTTTTTTTTTCAAATGTATTAATCATATCTATCATGTGAAGCATTACACAGCTGAAAAACTATAAGAATACACACAAAACATAACTAAAATTTGCCATACGTATAGGCAGAAAAACAGACATATCTGGAAAAAATATGCGGAAATCCTAATATTACTGGTGTAACAGTTCTGTAATAAGTAATCAAACCCGATAGGGTTGTAGGTTCAAAATATGTACTAGAGATACAGCAGCAGTGTTTCATTTAGGGAAAGATAAATAAGCTGATATATCCTATGACAATTCCGGCAGTTTGATATTCAGAGTTTTCCTTCTAGACTAAACCTTATCCTTATTATCCACATACATATTTATAAGCAGTAAAACTATACAATGTGACCCTCAACCAAAGCTTTCCACCGACAAGTCAACGATCACACCACATTGCATTTCCATCCTCGATTTCACCGTTGTTCACCGAAAGCTGGGTAAGGGAGCGATGCATGCTCACAAGTAAAGAAAATGCGCTACATCAAGAAATAACAAGAACCCTGTTTATCAGATATATATATATATATATATATATATATATATATATATATATATATATATATATATATATATATATATTTTTCATGAATTATTCATACAAAAAACAAATACAAAGGTTAATGATTTAATTGGCGAGAAATCCATCATCGCGAACAATTCAAATAATATACAAAAAACCCGAACCTGTTTATGCATGAAAAGATCCTTGTTTTATAAATTTCAGTTGCATAAGTTCTTATTATTTTTACAAGCTTTCGTCTGTTCCTACAGACATCCTCAGGTATGGAATAGATTTTGTTCTTGTTTTTACTCTCAGTAATAAGAGGACAACGAAAATAGATGTCTTGTAACCCGAAAAATGCTATGAGAAATGTGTTATCGTTTTTGGGCGTGCAGTCGCAACGCTGAGCTTGAATTTAAATTTTAAAGTTGTGCGGTCTTGTAAAGATATAGTGATAAGAAAATTCTTTTTTCTGCATGCTCCAAAAACAATAACACATAGACCTCATTCTTCCGCCAAGGGTGGACATCTCCGTCTTCAGCTAGGAGTGGACCCGATTCTAAGCATGAGTGTTAACATAGAGTAGCGCCCAGATGTAAGCTATTTCAACTTTTGTTGCTACGTGATCTGCAAAAATCCCCCATCCAAACATTGACTTTCCAGACCCTTTGGTTAACGTGGATGTCGCTTATATGACCGAAATTCCAAAGGACACATCCACCGGTCTATCAAAGAGAAACACTCGAGATCGAGATAAAACTACCTATTCCCCGTATATATGGATTAATTTCCCACTACTGCAAAGAAAGGGTTAGGCGGGAAACGTCCGTCAATACTGGAAATAGAAATAACTGCAAGTGGACTTGAAAAATCTATTTCCCTAAAATATCGTTTTAACAGAAAGTTTTTATAAACTTCAATCGAAATCCGTACTGACTGCTCAGTCAGTGATTGCCAAACGTTTCCTTGTAGGGAAACAATTCATACTGACATTATCAATAGCATAATATCACAGGATGATATTGAATATGTGTGTACATAGACGAAAAGAAATATACCAAGGCATATGTGAAAGATTCTTAGATTAAAAAAAAAAAAAAAAGATTTCAGATTTTTTTTTTCTGATGTACTTGAGGAACGTAATAAAATGAAAACTTTAATGGTAAGGTGTCCCTTGGTACCGTCCGGATTTTCTAGACTCTGAATGCAAGTGTATATTTGCTTCTCAGGCTATAGTAATACAAATAAATGTGACAATATATAAAACATTTTTGTCTGAATTTCTGAAATGAGGAGTTATCATTTTTTTAGATACGGATTATTAAAAAAACGTAAGAGATAACAGAAACCACATCACTTGAAGTCTTTCAACAACAAAAACAACAGCTAAAATGGATATCACATGTAACTCGAAGACAATATAATGACATAATAAAGATACTGACATTCCACATTACTAAATCGTTGTGTCAAAAACGATGTGCAGTCTGTTATTAACGGAAACAAAGTATGGCTTGTTAATTGTAATACCTCCATTTAAACTGATTTATATTAATAATCAAAGTGACTCCTTTCTGCCTTCCATCAGCATGGCTTATGGTAACTTTAAAGAGAATGACGTGTTGCGCCTCCTCAGTTAAAGTTCTCGTTGGACATGACGAGAAAGGACTATATTGAAAGAGTGAATTCAAGAAGTATGGCTCAGGCGTGGTCATGCGTGACGTCATGAGCTGCGGTGCGATTTTCGCTTCTAGCGTCTTATATGCACGTGTTTATCGTTGCTAGGAAATCATCCAAGTAGACAATCACAGACTATCATCAGTGTCTTGTCCGTATATTGCTTAATATAGTGTATAGTAATTGACATCTTTGATAATGGCTTATGTCAGCCGAAAGCTTATATTGGATTAAAAAATATGGATCAATATTGTGATTTTCTTTCTTCGTTTAATAATAATGTTATTAAGCTTATCATGCGTTATGAAAAGAATTTACATAAAATAGACAACACTTGTATATATTATTTAATAAAACGTGTATGAATGAAAAAATGCTGCCTAAATACACACAATATATATATATATATATATATATATATATATATATATATATATATATATATATATATATATATAGGCAGCCGTCCTTCTTTCATGCGCATTTCATTGTAAACGACAGAAAAGGTGCTTTTTATTTAATTTTTTTTTTACAATTTCTCATTGCGATCTAAAAAAAATCTTTTTGGACGATAAATTATACAAAAGCTGCTTGAATGTTCTTTTTATCCGAGCGCTTTCGGCTATACATTTAGCCATTTTTCAAGGATTATATATTAACTTTTAAAATAAGAAATAGTTTGTCGTATGTATGTTTTATAAAATGTTTTCCTTTTTTGTTTCAAAACACGGTCAGGATATTATGTCCATGTTCACAAATAATAGATCGCATGAGAAATTGTATGAAAAAACAAAATAAAAGAACCTTGTCTGTCGTTTTCAATGAAATGTGCATATATATATATATATATATATATATGAACATAGATGTCAACACTTAGAGGCGACAGTCTGTTTCATGGTAGAACAAATTTTTACTACGTTAAAAAACACTGATTAAAATAAATATATATATATATATATATATATAAGATAAGAAATGAAAATAAATAAAAAGAAACAAAATAATTTAACCCAAATAAATAAATAAACAAATAAACATCTTCCGGTAAAATAACCGCCAAAGTAGACTACCCACAATACACCACCGACCCGTATATATAAATAGCCGAGAAAAATAACAGCACACGGGACCTGACGATTGCATCTAGCATGAAACAGACTGTCGCCTCTAAGTGTTGACTTCTATGTTCACTCTTTTATTTACATACGGTCTATCTCTGATATAAAGCACTTTATCCCATAAATATAGAACATCTTAAGACTATAGTTTAACCATTCGTCCACGTTCAGAATATTCTTGCCACATATGGTCCTGTTGCTAATGCTATATATCTATATATCCTTCATAAAATCCAAAGATGAATCAGAAATATTATTGGTTTTAATCAAGCCTGTCGTCTTCTGTCACTTTTCCACCGCCATAAAGTTGCCTCCCTGTACCTTTTTGTTTGCAAATACGTTCATGGTAAGAGTTCGGATGAGCTCCTAGCTATGGTACCTATACTTTAGGAATTTAAGCGCAGTACGAGACTGGTGACGAGATCTCGTCAATTTACAGTTGAGTTGGTTCGATGTAACTGTAAGTTTTATGCTAGCAGTTTCTTTTCCCGTACTTCTCGCTTGTGGAACTCAATTCCGGCTTCATGGCTTCCAGTCAACTTTAATCTTCAAAAATTGAAATGCTATCTACTGATTTCTTAATTACTCTGCTTTTATCTTGCTCCTTAGCAATGTCTCAGTTTTCTAATTTTCCGCATCCAGGAAGCTCATATATCTTGGGGATTTTCCTATATTACTTGGGTTGAAGTCGATTAAATAAATAAATAAAAAACATGTTAATGGACTCCGTCATCAATACTGAAATTTCAAATGGATGAATATCTTGAAAAAATTAGTAGATGGTGCGAGAAATATTTTGTGTAGAAAGTACACATCTAAAGAAAGGGTGAGCCTATCTGCACATCAGTTGTTGTGGTGAATCTACTTAGAAAATTATGCGAGACTGGAGAAAACTCTCGTCAATCAGTTTCAGCCGTTACATGTTACATAATCCGTTAGGGTCGAGCGGACAATAGATACTTGTGTGACTAGAGTAAAACAACCTGATTATGTCCCTTTCGATTCAGTTTAGTTTCAAATTCAGTTTCACTTCTAGAAATGTTATCAGCTCAAGGTTAGACAACACAGTCTACCTTGCTATTTAACTAGCAACAGGAAGAAGTTCAAAGCATGCCTTTCCCAAGAGTATTAACAAGACGGAATCCAGTGAAATGATCACCGGGGGTACATTCTTTACTTTCGACGTTGTTAACCTCAACGCTAACCAAGATTCATCTAAATCTCTAATGAAAATTAAAACATGTTTATTCAAGCAATGATAAGGCTGACGAAAATAGAAAACAAAAGCATGCAAGCAATACTTGCAGCATATAAAGTGTGCAATTGGTAAATAGTCGCAGTTTATGTTTATAATGTCGCGCATGCACGTTGTTTTTTTTATTTATTGATCAAGATTTTTTGTTGACTGACGAGTTATTCGAACTTTCAATTCTTGCTATAGATTTGCAATAGGATTCAAGGGTCATCGGGAGACCGTCTAAGAGAAAACGAAAACCCTGTTGCAATTTATTCAGCCAGAAACTTGAAAACGGC